TCAGAGTACTTGGAAGGCCCAGCTGTTATTTCTGTTGAAGAGATTTGGCCTAGTGGATCCGATGGAGACCGACGGTGAGTGTTCGGTGCAAACCACGACCGGGAAGGGTGACGGGATACTGGGAATAAGAGCCACTTCAGCACCATTGCTGGAACGGGGATCTTTGGCGACGAGATCAAGTGTGGATGGGACCGATAAAGCGACGAGAGGAGGGAAAGGGCTCTTCGGCCTCTCGAGCTTGGATCTGAGACACAGAGTCTCGAACCCGGAATCGAAGGGAGACGGGGCCAGGGGATGGCAGAACAAACCGACGATAGCTTTTCGAGCATTCCGATCTGATTTTCGGACCTAGCGATTTCGGCGTAGTTCGACGGTGTTGGAGGGTTGATAGGTAGTGTGGCGGTGGGTCTTTGATGGTGAAGCCAAAGCCGGCCAGAGCCGAGTTTCCCGATGGCTCGAGACCCGATAACGGAGTAGCAGTCGGGAAACTCCGTGAGGCGGGTGTATCCGGCGGGTCAGGTGGTTCAGGGGGCTCCAGTGGGCGAAGAGCATTCATCAGAGTCGCCAGGGTCTTCCTCCGCCGGTGAGTGAGGAAACTGAGTAATGTATGGCTCGTCGCCGCGGAGGGTGAAGGCGGGGAGACGACCATCGTTTTCCTCTAAAAAAACCATCGACGGTGATGAGGCAGGGTCACACCGGTGAGGACGAAGGAGAAGCACCGATTCGGGGGGGAGGGGGGGCTACACCGGAGGTCGACAGCTCATTCCCGGGCGGCTACCTTGGGTTCTGTGTATGGGAGGAAAACTCCTACTCGGTTATTGCTATTTTTTCTGCTGACATTTATTTTTCCTTTTTTTCATCTTTATTAACTACCGCTTCGTTCTCGCGCAACCATTAAAGTGAGGCCAATTTTGGTAATATTGTAAAAATTATACAGAATATTGGGTGTGATTGGTAACATGAGTTACCATGAGTTAAGATTGAGTTATGGGTGTAACTCATAGTTAAGTCAAAAATGTTACCAATCATGAATTAAACTAAATTT